CATCAACACTAGCTCACATGCAGACAACATCAACACTAACACACATGCAGACAGCATCAACACTAGCACACATGCAGACAACATCAACACTAGCACACATGCAGACAACACCAACACTAGCACACATGTAGACAGCATCAACACTAGCACACATGTAGACAGCACCAACACTAGCTCACATGCAGACAACATCAACGCTAGCACACATGCAGACAACACCAATACTAGCACACATGTAGACAGCATCAACGCTAGCACACATGCAGACAGCACCAACACTAGCACACATGTAGACAGCATCAACACTAGCACACATGTAGACAGCATCAACACTAGCACACATGTAGACAGCATCAACGCTAGCACACATGCAGACAGCACCAACACTAGCACACATGTAGACAACATCAACACTAGCACACATGCAGACAGCACCAACACTAGCACACATGCAGACAACATCAACACTAGCACACATGCAGACAGCATCAACACTAGCACACATGTAGACAGCATCAACACTAGCACACATGTAGACAGCATCAACGCTAGCACACATGCAGACAGCACCAACACTAGCACACATGTAGACAGCATCAACACTAGCACACATGCAGACAACATCAACACTAGCACACATGCAGACAGCACCAACACTAGCACACATGCAGACAACATCAACACTAGCACACATGCAGATAGCACCAACACTAGCACACATGCAGACAGCACCAACACTAGCACACATGCAGACAGCACCAACACTAGCACACATGCAGACAGCACCAACACTAGCACACATGCAGACAGCACCAACACTAGCTCACATGCAGACAGTATTCAGCAGTAAAACTACTTACGCATTAGAACTATCAGAACTAAGACTGCATATACTGCCATCTGTGCTCTCCCTACTTGTCTGTTTGACCATTCGATTTCTTAACTCAGCTGCAACACCAACTTCTTCACTTCTCTGAATGGAACTTCTTGCTTTCTTTCCTGAACCTTCGAGAAACAAAAAAAAATTCATCAGTATTAGAAATTACTGCCTGCCTGTATGCACAGTATGGAGCTTTTGGTTGGGCTGGTAAAAGATTACATGCCTGGTAGAATATGGTAACATTTTTGTCAAAGTTTGTTTCAATATAAATTTTGAAAATGCAATTATACTAAATAATATTGAATGAAGTTGAACAACATTTAGACAGGAGGGTTTTGTATTGAATTGTATGTGAGAGCTCAAGGTCTCTTACTCAGTACAATTAACACTAATATCACTGAACTGACCAAGTAGGATAAAGTCTCCTGGTTTCACCAACAAAACCTCAAGTGTCCCTTATATTTATTTGCTTGGAGGTGCTTGAGCAATTCAGCTTTGCAAATGTTTTTTTTTTGGACCAGTCATAAAGTGTGACACTAGCACTGCCAGATTGCACAGCCAGTAAGTATGGAAGGCTATGGAGATGAATAATTTGCAGGGTTCATCATCTACTCTAATTCAACTACACCCATTATATACATTTTTCATTCAGGGAGATCCTGAATTTAGAATTTTTGGCCTTGAAATTGGGTGCTCTCAGAATTCTGAAGCTCAAACTTGTATCCTAAAAGCAATTATACACACCTATTGCATTGAGTTGAGATGTACTATTACTCTTTTTGGATAGTCCCACCAACGCGGCAACTTTGTAACCAATACTAGCACGCCGTTTCTTGCCTTCTCTTGTATTTGGTTCTGCTGCAGAGTCAGATATACTACCATCAGTCTTTTCATGGGCAAACACATCATTGGAACTTGAACTCCGATTAAGAGGCTTCTTTTGCGGCGTGTTTCCCTGCATTTTGGCACTAAATGC